CGCCGCTGTATTTCCCAAGCAGGCGACCTTGAGCGATGCAGCAAACATCTTCCAGGAGATCGGCATCAGATTCCACCTGGTGGCTGCAAGAAATCAGTTTGAAGAGAATCACTTGGAACGAGATGCATCGAAAAGTTGAGAAGGTACCGGGACCGATACAGAAGTGAGAACATCAGGACACGCTTCTTGGCTCAAATGTGTTTACATGTTCAAAGAGAATATGTATGTGCACTGAGGTCGAACCCCCCCAACACTGGGTCCTAAAGTAGGATACAGACAGATGTAGAAGGAAAGATAGATCGCGTATCCATGTATCCATATACACAGATACCTGTTGGGTCTCTTGGGTCTTATAGTACAGCCATCTTTGATCATCCCTAACCCTATCCCTCGCAGGACGCATGATTTCACAGCGGGGCTTCCATGCTTTGGTCGGGAATAGTTCTGAGCAGTCTGAAGGGGAACAACTTTCTACCCCTCGGCTGCGTGAACGGGCATCGCGAACTCCCCGCTCTCATCGCGATGTAGCCTGGGTCTCTTATCGCGGCCTTGACAATTCGAGAGAACCCTGGCAGAGAAGGTCAAAAGAAGTCACGCTTCGTGTGTCAAGACACACGAGCAGTCTGTGGGAGGGATGGGCGGGAGAAGAATTGGAGCAGAGGCTTGAGCTGATTTCGGGAAGAGATGCATGCCAAAGAATCACGTATGCACCGTTCCCTGCCACTCCAAAACATACGTACATCTTCGAACTAAATGGGGCCCTTGCCCCCTTAAGCCTAGCATTTAGGGTTTCGGGTTTAGGTGGGGCCCTAAGCAGCGGGCCCTAGAAACAACCTTTCGACCTAAGCCCTAAAATCGCCAACAGATGCCATCAAGAAACCTTTTGTGCACTCTGAGCCCAACGGTCCTACATGCCAAAAACCCCCACGAAACAGGCAGACCGTGAACCAGCCTGACCCTAAATGGGGTACCCCCCCTCCTCAAGCAAAATTGGCGACCGCTAGATTCCAGTCTTCACGACCCTGAGACCAGCACGTCAAAATGTGGAAACTGTGAAAGATATCCCTTGTCAACTCAGGCAATCCCGGCAGCAACGAATCCCATGTCAGGCTCACAATGAACCTTACACCCTAAACCCCTTGTGAACCCACACTCCTGAAGCCCTAGACCCTAAACCCTACAAAGCCCCCCCCCCCCCCCCCGCCAAAAAAAAAAAAAAAGTATATACAATAATAATACTAAGAAGAATAATGATGATGATGATGATTATTAACAAAAAAGGGGGCCGAGGGAAGCTGCGCCTCGCAGCGCCACTCCTCGGCCTGCTGCCGCAGCGCCCGGCGCTGCCCAAGGCGATCCAGGCGCAGGCCACAGAGGAGCATGGCTCCTACAAAAGGGTTCTCTAAGGGTTTATAGGGATTTAGAGGATTTAATGGGGGTTCATAGGGTTTATGGGGTTTATAGGTTTTTTAGGGCTTGTAGTGTTTATAGGGTCCTAACTCGGATTTTCTAAAGGGTTTGGTGTCTCAGCGTAGGGGGTTTGCGGTTTAGGGGCCGTCCGAGAAGGAGTGTTGGGCTTGTATCGGGTCTTTCGTCGCCGGCTTTACTCAACTCTTCTTTGCGTTGGGTGTGCCTCTTTGAACTCAAAAGGAAGCTTTCGATTGAAGAGAAAAAAAAGCTTTTGCTCCGGATCTGGAGGCTTAGAAGAGTTGAGGAGTTCTGGGTGTGCGTCTAAAGGTGTCAGAGGCCGAGCCACAGACTAAAGGGCTGGTGAACATCCTGGCTCAGCTCCTCCGAGTGCATTCAGAACCACCCCAGGCCCCTTCCATCAGAAACTGTCGCCTAAAAGCACCCAAGCACGCACCCCTAAACCCTAAACCTCAGGGCCTGTGAGCGTCGCCTCCCGATGCGTGCTGGGCTTGGCGTCGCCTGGATATCCGAAAGCATGGAAATGCCCGAGGACTTCCTGCCAGGTTCGGGGAGGAATGATGGTGATGTTTATAGGGCCTTGAGAGGCGCATGGGCATGATGACTTGCATCCCCAGCCCCATACCACTTGCATAGACACGCTTGCGGTATACATGTCATGTCTGAAAGCATGATGCAACTTCCGGATTCAGTGCGTCACAATCTGGGCTATCGGCTGGCCAATACTGGCAGTCAATGGTATGCATGCGGTTCAAGAAGAAGGTTAAACGGGTAAGCACAACGCCAAGCACAATCGAGATTGAGATGGCTCCCTGATGAGCAAAGTGGTGGCTGGGAGGGACACGGACGGATACAAACGGCAGCTGGACCACTTTGCAGCATGCTTGTCCTGCACAACGCCGCTGCGGCCAGCAGAGATCGACAAGTCCAGTGACAGCAGCTTGCAGGCCTGCATCTCGCAGACTCCAGGTCCACAGTACGGTGCATGACTTGGTCAGGGTTTATGGACTCTCCGACCGCTAACAGCATCCCAAACATGCAGGGAGCTCCGCGCAGTGAGATTCGAGGCTGCCACCAGAAGCCCTTCCCGCCTTTGCCACGATCTTTGGGCAGCAGCGGTCCTGCCACAAGTCAGCACTGGCTCATGGAACCAAGCAGCGAGACTTTGCTGGTGTGGGGTGAGGGTCTATAAAGGCTCATGGGTTAAGGTTTGGGGCCTTGGCAATCATACAATCGTTGGCCAGGCAGAACCCGGCAGATTCTGATAAAGCACAGTCCATTTCGTGCACAGCCTGTTCCACAACACAGGACGTGCCCTAATCCCCCTTCAACATTAAGAAAAGAACGAACCCTCTCGTTCGTGCTTTGGTTTGGAATTCTCTCTAGAGGAATATGATTATGAATAGGGAAAGGGTATATCAAGGTACTCAGGTGCTCTGTGTCACGCAGAACAATTCACAACCTTCAGCTCAAATCCGGTCCAAGCCTCCAACCCTGAATTGCGGTTTAGGGATCAGGCTTATAGTCGTTCACCGCAAACCCGAACATGGGCGCAACAACACTGAAACCTGAAAAGCCAGACCCCCAAAATCCCACCCTTCATTTAAGGAAGTTGCCTTAAACGATCATCCGCATCCTATCAAGAGTTGAGGTACCTTCGAGAACTCAGGGGGGGGGGGGGGGTATTGCAGGCTCTCACTCATCTCCCGGGCCTCCTCAGGATTGCCCGCCAGGCTTTGCAGCTCTCCCCAGGCTTCCTCGCGGGTTTAGGGTTAGGGTTTATAGGGTTTAGGGTTTAGGGTTTAGGGTTTAGGGTTTAGGGTTTAGGGTTTAGTATAGGGTTTAGGGTTTAGGGTTTAGGGTTTAGGGTTTAGGGTTTAGGGTTTAGGGTTTAGGGTTTAGGGTTTAGGGTTTAGGGTTTAGGGGTACTAAGATCCCCTGTGCTGGGCAGCTGCAGGGCCCTTCCTCCTGAAACAAAGAGTTGTAGGGTTCCGTGGCCTTAAGTAGGGTTTGAGGTGCTGTCGTTGCTTTAAAGACAAGCAGACATCCGGATCACAAGTCCGTGATGCCATCCCCATCCCACAGACAGAAGCTGCTGCAGTTCGCGTAGGGCTCGACATGCCAATCTTGTGGGCCGCTATCCCCAAGTTCAAAACCCGAAGAACCTAAATTCCTAAGCACTACAATCCAAGGTGCTCGATGCCGAACACCGCATGATCCCGTTTTTCCTAAAGCGCCACTTCAAGTCTGTCACTCATACAGCATCCTCTTGCTGCATCTAGGCCTGCGCAAATACTGCCGGGTACTTGGTTTCATCCTATTTTCCGAAACACCCTAAACCCTAAACCCTAAACCCTAAACCCAAAGCCCGAAACCCAAAACCCTAAACGCCCCAAATCTGAATTCCTAGGGCCCTGGAGCAGACAGGGCCTGTGCCGCCCTGGTAAGTGGCTGCTCCTGGCGAGCGTCCTAGTTAGCCCCGAGTTTTAAAAACAAGAAATATTTACATCATACATAAGAATATATATATATATATATATATATATATTTATATAATAATTATCATCATCATCATAAACATAATGAGGATAACAATCATACCAGTCATAATGATACCAATCATAATCATAACAACAATAATAACAATACATTGTATTATGATTTATTGAAAAGGTTGGACTAAACTGATTTCGGGTTTAATTACAGCTTATGCAAGCACTCGGAAATTTGGCTTGGAAGACTTCAGAGTTTGGGCGCTGGCCCAGCACAGGGGGAGGTTCAGGCCGATCAATGTCGGAAGCATCGAGCAATGTACCAGTCGAGCAGACCGTCCAGCCGTAACTATAACCGCCACTGCCTGAACGTCTTTGCCGCGCCGCCGCAGGACGTGCTGCGCGCCATCCAGGAGCACGTGGGCCAATGGCCGCGGCTGACTCGGGGGCAACGCGCTCAAGGTACGGGGTGCGAATCTCTGTTCCAGCTTAGCAAGTGCTTGCAACCACACTGCATGCTGGTGACCAGGAAGCCCTGCTAAATCACGCTGGGCAGTGGGTGCGCTTGTATGATCGGCTGCATTGCTGCATCAATGAAGGTTTCGAGTCTGTTCACCCCTTCACCCACGAACCCCAAGACCAGCTCCCACCCAAATCCGGGCCGCACCTCCGAATACAGGGTATATTGCGGCATGCTTCTGAACTCATGGGTATGCAGGGCTCTCGGGAACACCTTTCAGCGCACTCTTGGCCTCTTGTTGGTATCCTAGGCACCCTGCCTGTGGCGTTTTGTGAGGTCCAGCAAGGTGCTGATCCTGAGTGGAGTTCTCTGCATTCACAAGACCCTGGCACACTTCCACGCCAAAGGGCAACGCATGACAGGGAAGTGTAGCAGGCTGCTGCCGTACTTATTGATGGAATGACAGGAGCTGGCAAAGCAGAAAACTGCCTGTCCCACTGTGAACGAGAAACCCCAAACTGGCATACATACAAAGCATGGTTTGCACTCAGCCAAAGGGTACCAAATGGTGCTGATACCTCTTGCGGCAATATTGAGCATGCCATGGCTGAGATACAAGTTCAAGCCAAAGCCCCTGAGCCCTGAGTGAAAGCCAGGCGGGAAGCAACTCTTCTGTCAACATCGGCGCGTCGGCGAGGCGACACCGCCTTGGCCGAAGGAGCCACACATATCAATAGAATCGGCAAATCTGCTCGTTGTGGTATGAAATTCTGGCTGTCGGTCTCAGGGCTTCCAGTTGAGGCATAGGGCACTTTGGGCTTTGAAGTGTGCAGTGGGTCGGGGGGTCAGGCCCACAGAAGACAGCTACTTTCTCCTCCCCGTCCCCCCCTCCCCCCAACCTTTTACATCCAGGCCTCTGAAGTCTGCCGGGTAAGTATGCCTCCCCCCAACCTAAAACCCTGAACCTTAAACCCTCAACCCTAAACCCTGAACCCCAAACCCTGGTCGGGGGGGGGGACGTGAAAAGGGGTGGTTACAGCGACCTGTGCATCTCAGCTGCAGAGCCTTCCGGGCACCCTCCTGCTCCTTGCGCGACTAGTCGGGGCGGGCGATGGCTTCAGGCTTCAGGGTTTAAGGTTTAGGGTTTAAGGTTTGAGGGTTAGGGGCTTTTGGGGGAAGAAATTCTAGGGTTCTAGGGTTTGGCACAGCATCGTCCAGGATTCCGGGGGTTTCAGGTCGAGACGCCTCAGGGCTCAAGGCATGCCAAGGTGGACAGCTCTTGGTCCAGGTCACGAGTCTCCAAATGTTGCTGCATTGAGTTGAAGACAGGGCTTTGCATGAAAAACAAGTAAGACCCTGAACACTACGTACATAAGAGCCCCAAACACCTTGAACACACCTGGGTGTTGACAAAAATAAGGGACCCCTAAATGTTGTCCACCAATCATAACAGGATTCCATTATAATAAGGACTCCAAGAAGGTACCCCTATTTTCGGAAATCCCCCCATCTAAACACGCCTGACATTAGAATAGGGTTTTGGGGATTGTTGAAGTATAATTATAAAGGGACTCTAAGGGAATACAATTAGAAATTATTCCGACCCCTATATCCTACACCCCCTAAACCCTAAACCCTAAACCCTAAACCCTAAACCCTAAACCCTAAACCCTAAACCCTAAACCCTAAACCCTAAACCCAAAACCAACACGCCTCTTCGGTCTGCGCGGCCGTCCAGCGCTCGGCGAGCGCTTCGGCCAGGCCTCGTGAGGGTCGACAGGATTTCGGGTTTAGGGGGGTGGCTTTTGTTGGCCGGGAGGGAGTAGTTTTAGGGTGTAGGGGTTTAGGATTTAGCGGGGGGGGGGGGGGGGGGGGGGCGAGGGAGGAGGGGAGCTAAGGTGTAGAAGTTTAGGGGTCTAGATTGGGCTTAGGATGGACTAGGGCAGGGGGAATTTTCTCTCAAAACCAGCGCAGACATGATAGGAACACAACAATAGACAAATAATCATGCATGGTATACGGAAAACGAGAAATCATTAAACTTTCAAACAGCTCAATTTGGGATTTTAGAAGAAGACTACATAGGCCACCGCCACACCAATACCCCTAACCCCCATCCCCTTCCCCCACCAGCTGGGCATCATTTCCCAAACTTCAACCCTAAACCCTAAACCCTAAATCCTAAGTGGTGTTGCAGCCCTGAGGGTGCAGCCGTGCTCTGGGCTGAATGGCTCCGCAGGGGGAGGCGGCCTCGCAGCCACGGCTTAGGTGGTTCTCGGGCTTTAGGGTTTAGGGTTTAGGGTTTGCAGTGGGCTTACAGGGCTGTTTAGTCTAATTAATGATTGGAATAGTTTTTTTTGTTTTTGGTTTTTTGTTTTTTTTTTTTTTTTTTTGGGGGGGGGGGGGGTTGTTATAGTCAAACTATAAACGGACCATACAGAAATTCTTTTTGTCAGTATTTCGACCCCTATTCTAAGTGTGTTCGTAGTGGGCAGACTGGCGAATCGGGCCCTGCCTCGACACTCAGCAGTCTTGCTGTCTCTTGCTGTCGAAACTAAGAGTGACGGAATGTTCGCCGGCAGCTCAATTACAGGAACATGCTAACTGGGACACGAAATCGCAACTTCCTGTGCTTCTCCCTAAACCTTATCAACCTTAAACCCTAAGCCCTCTTGAAGAAGTATAGCCACCCTCCCCCACCTCCAGAGCTTGTTCTGGCGGCGCTCTTGCTCCTTCCCCGCAGGGCGAACTCTTGTTTAGGGCTTTTAGCAAGTGTAGGGGTTGCCTCAAGCTTTCGATCCTGGCTGGCATGAGACGAGCTACGCCCATGAAGATTGCAGTGCTCCTCGACTCGGCGATTGCAGCTTAAAAAAGTTTGCCTTCAACATCCCCGCAAAGCCTCTAAGTAGAAGTACAAGTTGACCCTCTTGAAAATGACCTGTGCCCACCTCCGCCGACCGACGCTCCGTGTCTTCAGCAACTGACTCCAAACGCTCCACCTGCCGGCCGGGCGGGAGGGGGCCTCGATTCGGGCACTTTAAGGTTTAGGGTTTAGGGTTTGGGTTTAGGATTCAGAGCAGGACTTCCCTGAACCGACACCCAAGTTTGCAGAGTAGAGGGCTTTCCCAGGACCACTACAGAAGGCATATAAGGGGGCACATTCAGCATAAGAAACACCACCCATCTGGGGTTCTCGTAACGGTCCCGTTGGTCTGTTCAGATCAACACCTGGCCGGAATCCCGAGTTCTTGCGTGCTGAATCGAGCCTCCGCCCACCAGGCATCCAGATTTCCGGCACTTTGGAGGGCCCGCTCCTCTGACATGTTTCTGAAAGGAAGGTTCATTCAAAGCTGTTGCGTTCAGTTTATAGCCTCCTTTAAAGGATGACCCCGAAAGGGAAAAAAACTGGACCCCCCCACCACCCCCCAACCCTCGATGAGCTCAGAAAGGGCTCCTAGTCAGAACTCCAAGCAAAAAAACCCTGAAGGCAAGGGGCATTTCTCGAGATTGTCCTTCTTGGGGCTTCTACGTTGTGCGGAAAACACCCTACATGAACCCCGGACTTGGACAAGCTTGAAACCCTAAACCGCTTTTTCTCTTCCGGGCTTGGTTCGTCCCTTCTTTGCTAAACCCTCAACCCTAAACCCTACAACCCTGCAGTGTAGAAGCCTAATTAAACCCCTCTCTTCTGCAAAAACCCAAACTTACCCAAGCAAGCACAGATGTTACACTGTTCAGAAGTGTGCGCTTTAAAGGAAGCCAAGAATACATGGAAAACCTACAACAGGGTGAACCCTAAACCCTAAACCCTACACCCTAAACGCTAAAATTTATAAAACCGAGGCACTGAAGGCCGTAAACCCTTAAAGCCCTCAGGTTCCACGAGGCATTTGTGGGCGAAGGACGGCTGGCAAGAGCGACGTTAGAGGCTTATATTGGACTGTTCCCCCTTTTGCTAGCAGTCCGGAATAGGGATTATACTAGGGGGTACTATGATTCCCTGTTACGGACTGTTAGTATAAGGGGGCACATCCAAGGCTTATACTTTGGCCGGGGAGCCATCTGACGCTGGAGCCGCGTGATGGACGGCTGGGCTTTCAATGCGGCAGCTCCTCGCCACCCAGTACGTGTCTCTACTTGGAGGTTCATGGTACTTATTAACCAGTTTTCCTGTACTTACAACTGTACTTATAACCCTGTTAGAGCACTTAAAGGGCTGACAAGTGGGTTATAAGTACAGTTATCGTTGGTTAAGAAGTACCATGAACCTGCAAGTGGGGTCATACAGGGTGCGGTCCAGGTTCTAGAGACCTCATTTCACATTTGGGCTTTTGGGGTTTATAGGTTGCACGTCAGATATGTATCTACATATATATATATCTGGTTTAAATGATTTAACATATTCCTTTCATGTTCATGTATACACACATATACTATGTGTACAGATTTAGATATAAAATCTGTGTGCGCATGCAATGCATTAGTATGTGATGTCAAGTGCGAATAAACACACAGTACATAACCGTATCGATAGATAAATCCGAAAGATGATGGATAGATTGATATTAGAATGAAACGCGATGCGTCGTCTACTTAGTTTTCGTTAACGGGCTGAACTTCTGAACAGCTCCTAATTGACTGGTCCTTCTTCCTCAGCCGCGGGAAGCACGGGAGCTTCCATGCTCCACTTCTGGGGCAGCACGAAGCCTCGCGACACCTGTCACTGTGACCGTGAGGCTTGCAACATGTAGTGTAGTTTTGGTTCCTTTCCCGAAGTGGTCCCCGTTTTTCTTTTGAACTTGGGGCTCTGAAGTACTGCCAGGAAACCCTAAACCCCGAACCCGAAACCCCAAATCCGAAGGTTTCTAAACTCCTTCCGCTTCATATCCTTCTGTCTGATGCCCCTGGGCGCTGGCGACAAGACGATGTTCCGGATCTCTGGCCCCGAGCTGGTACCCCTCCCGAAGGTTTCACAAGCCCTCACCGAAAGCCCTGGACCCTAACATCTATCATATTTTACATTTCTACTTTCTACAAAATATGTATTTATATGTATATATATGTATGTACATATAAATATGATACAAATATGCTTTTTCGATAAATATGTATAGTTTTGATACACACACACATATATATATATATGATACATATATGTGTCGGTGATACATGTGTTTTTATACACAACATACATACATGGATTATGACAGTTGGGTTGAAAGAAGATGATGTTGGTATCTCTTTGGGCCCCTGCACCTCTTCCCACCTCCCAGAGCCTCGCCGGCGGACCTCCGAGCAGAGGCTCGGCAGGGTGTGGGTGGGGCTCCAGCACTTCAAAGGGTACCCCTTACATGTCCCTTATATGCCCTATACAAAATTAAGGGCCCCCTTGAAAGGAGGTTGGGGAACATGTTAAGGGCCCCTGAAACTACCCTCAGAGTGACTGCCCAAGGCGTCCGCAACGCAGAGTTTCGAGCGCCCGTTCAGGCTGCAGGCTTCTTGAAAGGGGTTCGCCATCGCGATCTGCATCTGATTGGAGTAAACCGTCCACCCCACGCCATAAGCTATCATGAGTTATGCGGAGTTATACCAGGTTATACACCCGATGTAGTGCTGCTGCCACGTTACCCCTACTTTCCTCTTTGCTGCTCCTACATGTGCTCACCTCGCACTGCTGTCATCCTACCGCCGGTACCACTACTATCATGACCGCGACGGCGACGACCACCACGCCTACAACAACGGCGCAATTCACTTCAGGAGCTTTCCCCAACGCATATCCCTGCAGTCTGCAGGCAGACCGAACTCAGCACCATGCCGTGCTTGACTTGTCATACTTGTAAACCCTAAATTCAAAACCTTTAACTGTACATCTCACGCAAAGGAAAAGTCTAGAGCTATAGCTCAACCCCTGCCCGCGCAGCTCTTGCCTCGGAGACGAGCACGGGATTCCGAGCCTGGCGTGGGCGGAGTCCCTTCCGCTGTAGATTCGCAAGAGCTTGGCAGGATTTGGGCAAAGAACGCGGACATCCACACGTAGCACAGCGAAGGGAGCATGAAAAGCGCATGCGGTGTCGGCAAATGTCGTGCCTTCAGGTGCTTGCAATCTTCAACAGCTTCGAGAAACTCCCGACCTGAGATGGGCATGTGACAACAAAAAAGCCTGTGGACCACGGTTGCGTGCGCATGTAAGCGACATAGACATCCCAACCAACAGACCATGGCTTAAAGATCACTTGTGATGCATCGCAAGATATGGGGGTTTACCATAATCAGGGACCCCTGATGAAAACCCACAAAAAGTAATCCCTTCCCCCTAATATGAAACGAGGCCCCCCCCCCAATAGAAACTCGAAATGTGTTTTTATTGGGGGGATGTTTTTATCCAAATGTCGCGTTTGGGGTCTAAAGGGTTTAGGGTCTACTTGGTAGGCTTCAGTAGTGAGATAGGCTGTGGAGAGCCAGGCTCACAGACAGCTCACAGACAGCTGAGTGCTGCTGGGAGGGAAGGGAGGGCTGGGAGGGAAGGGAGCTTCAGGATGTTGGTTGGTTTGAAGGTTTTGGGAGCCCTCAACCCACCCCCTAGTCCTAGTTCGGAATAGGGTTTAAAAGGAGGGGTCGGTTTCGGCAGGATTCTCCGGAAAGCATTTTCAATATTAGGGGGTACTTAAAATGAGGACGCCCAAGAAGGTACCTCTAATATCAGAAAACCCCATAAGCAACATTCCATAATTACGCAGAAAGGCTTTCACGGGCTTCTACTTACTCGGCAGGAAGGTTCAGCGTGCGAAATCGTTGCCGAAGATCCTTCAAGGGCTTCAAGGCTCTTCAGCTTGATGGCCGCGTCTCCTGAAACTGCCATGTTCACAAAAGTATTTGCCTGTGCGGCGTCCAGAAAAAGCTCCTTCAGTGCAAACGCGGCCGTCGGACTGCTCGATGCAAAGCAGAGGAGACAGCCAATAGCCTGATTGAGGACAGATTCAGATGTTGGCTGCCAATCTGTCATCTTCGCTAGTCCCTGTGCTGTCTTCATCTAGCAGCTAGCTCTTCGCAGTGTGCTAGCAGCTCATCTGCGAATTACAGTTGACGTCTGCCTGCTTCTAACTGTATCTACATACGATTTGGTTATATATGTCATCATTTGGTGTGCTTTTGCATATCAGGGCATATCAGGAGGCTGGAAGACTGTGTCACCACATGACGGACATGTTCAACTTCAGGCCGAACCCTAAACCCAGACTGGGCCTTGGGTTCTCACGACATGGGCAGTGGCAGACGAGAGGCGCTTGTGAAGAAGCAAGACCCACCGCGAATCCTGCGGACGCGGATGCTGTCGGTGGTCAAGCTAAAACGGGGTTCTGAAGATAAAGCCCCTGAAAAGAGGTAAGTCTTTTAGCTTACATTCAAAGACATATTCAAGGTAGAGGAATTCTAGCCGCCTGGTTTTGCTCTGCTACTCAGAGACTTCTAGACTTCTAGTCGCTTTTGTTAGACATGAAGGGTTTAGGGTTTAGGGCCCCAAACCGAGTGCCAAAGACCATGAGCGCCTTGGCCCCAGGTGCTTCGAGCAACCTCGCAGGCGTAAACGTCCACCATCCGGTTGGCTGGGAAGGGCTCAAGAGGCCTCAACAAGTTCAGAGAGGATACCGCAGGGTGGGGTTGAGCCCAAGAGAGATCCAAATTAAAATCTGGAGCCTCTACATGCCTCTACCACAACAAATGCCAAGGACGCGGGCGTTGTGAGGTCCAGGAGGTGATTTTTCTAGGAGAGCACATGGAGGTTCATAGGTCGGTATACCTGGAGTCGTAATATAAGCAGGAGAACCATCGTTGCAACTTGTTATGGCCAGTTCTGGGGTTCTGAGAACTACTTATATTGTTCACTATCCATGCGCCAAGTTCTACTCAGCCAGCGGACATCAAACTCCAACCCTGAACCCCCTCACCCTTCTCGATGATTGCCACTGGGGCTCTTGGTTCCTGCACAGGGCTTCTGAGCACGTCAACCTCTGCACTGCGATGGTGTAGAACGAGCTGATCCTGGGCTTGTGGGTTGGTAACGGCTTTTGGCGGCAGCGTGCCAATCCGGTCAAGTCTATTTCCTGCTATCCTCATACAACATCGGAACTTTTTTGAACGACCCCTTGCGCGCCCAGAGCATGCTTAGTTCGTCTTGCCCTTGAGCGACCAATGCTGCAGCTGAGGCTGTATCTGTAAATCGAGGGTCGACCCTCTTGAAATAGGAGTCCCTCTCAGTGAGTCCGTCCTTTTGGAAAAAGCGCTGAGGCCCGACCCCCGGCCTCCTAGACTGATGTAAGGGCTCGGAACCATAATAACCCCATTCACATGATAAAGGCCCCTAGATTAGTTGACCGTTGACCCTTTACGGCCCACGCACCTCGTAGAAGATGCAGCCACGCAAGAGGAAGCGCGACGATGGCGCCGCTCCGAGCCTGTGCAGAGTTCGACGCTTCAACCCGCAGCTTAGGTTTTTTTTTGGCCGGTTTAGGGTTTAGGGTTTAGGGTTTAGGGTTTAGGGTTTAGGGTTTAGGGGTGGGTTTACGGCAGAAACCCTCAACTTCAATGATGTTCAGGGCTAGGATCTCGGGTGGCTTACAATGGCCGGCTTGGTGTGGGGCCGCAGGGGGGTGGGGGCTTAAGGCAGATATTGGGAGCCTTCACTTGGCAAGGTCAACTGTGCTACTTGAATGTTACCCGCTGCTTATGATTAGGGTTTTAAACTAAACTTATAAGATAGGCTCGCTTATACCCATGCAGAAGGGTAGAGACAACCATGCTTCACCGTCGCAACTACCCCAATATGGGGGCCCCCAGGTGCGACAGCTAGCTTGTCCAGGCATGCTGCGGACAAAGCCAGCATAAAACCATGGCAAAAACGACAAGTAGGCTTGGTAGCCCGGAAAACATATTGTCATGAGTCATAAGGGCACTTCTCCTTTCTGTTTTTTCTTTTGGGGGGTATAAAAAAAGGGAAGCTGGAATCAAAGAAAGCGGCCATGGGCAACCAAGAGGGTGCCCTTCTCGATTCTAGGCGGTTTAGGGTATAGGGTTTAGGGTTTCGTCCTAGCCAGGCCTCTCTTCCAGCTCCTGCACCACCTCTGGCCGACCGGCCAAGCGGACTCGTATTCCTCAGCGGTGCAAACGGCGAAGCCATTCTTAGCACCATGTAGCACCCCGTTGTTAGCGATGGGTAGCACTGGCAAGCGCATGGATCTCGGTCTTGCCACGTGATTCGACGTGATGAGCTTCCCTTGCAGCCGAATCACGTGCCTCCAGGATCCGCCAGCACAGCGACTCATGCAAGAAGCCTTCAGGGGTGCCAGAGTGCTCAGCAGCCCCATGGAGGCTGCGCCTTTAGCCCGCACATCCCGCACTCGTGACCTCGCAAGCCCCAAAATGGAGGATGCCGGGACCCAGAAGGTGTTTCAGACCAGCAACGATTATGGAGCCCGAAGTTGCCTGAACTCACAGTTTGAGCATCCCGCGCCTCCGGAAAAACGTGAGCCCACGATGTCAATCTCTCTGGGACCTCTCGCCAAGCCTTGTGAAATGGGCATTGGTCGTCGCCCGTTCCCTGTTTCAGCATCATGCAGGGTTGTTATTTCGGCCTTGTGCCAGGAGTTAAAGAGGCCGCTGTGGCTCTGTGGCTCAAAGTCGTCATCGGAAGACAACACAGGAAACACATAAGTCAACCTGGAGCAAAACCGAGGTGCTGAAGTGAAAGGCAGCTTCCAAGTGAAGGGCCCCCAAGGCCTACGAAGGCACAGCGCGAGCAAAGGATTTCTTGGATTCCCGAACTTAGGTTCAAAGCGCTTGAGAGTTTAGGGGTGCTCGGCCTTTTCTGGCCAAGCTTGAGTAAGCACAGGATGAAGGATGCTCAGAGTTTGTAGGGCTCAGGCTGCATGGAATACGGAGTTGGTTTAGGGCGTTTTAGGTATGCGCGGAGACAGTTCCAGTTCCTGACCGTTCGAGCCTGGTACTTCTCGCTCCAGAACTTTGAAAACTCCTTCGCGACGTGCCCTGCAGAGACCAGAGCACGCTCTTGCAGCGTCAGAGGTGCTACAGGCACAAATTCACAGACCCGAATGTGCACACGGAGAGCAAACCCGGCATGGCTGTCATCATGACCCAGCCCGGGAGGTTTTCGCGCACAACACTTGCATCTGGACTGTGGAAGCATGCCAGAAACACCTACATGCTGCATGTGGCTGTGCGAGGCGCTAGCAAACGCATTGTCAAAAGCGCCGTACCTGCACAGGAGCCCATGTCAACCTTATGAGCGGATCTTATAGATCAGCCCGCCTCGCGTCCCGTAGTAGCGCAGCTCTCTGAAGCGACCATCCACCAGAATTGCGGCGTAACGCCCCCCTTCCAGAGCGTCAAACCGCGCGCACGCACGGCTGAAGTCGTCGAAGGTCTCGCCCTTCACGTTGCCCCACCCTTCGTGCCACATAACGGCGTATGTCGCATCCTGATGGCATCCACTAGTAAACCCTAAACCCCAAACCACAAAGCCTAAACCCTTTTTTGAAACCGGACTTGATGACTGCCAGCAGAAAACGAGCCATAATCTGAAACACTGCCCTGAAGGTCTTAAAGCCTAAACCCTAAACCCTAAACCCTAATCCATGGCAGCCCGCACACCCAGCCAGCTATGACATGACAGCTATGCTCCGCCTACAAGCCGTGCTCCAAGTGATTGCTACAGTGCTATCGTCAGGGCCATCTTTGGTTGCCGGAGAGCTATAGACTGCTATCAACCCTAAACCCTATACCCTAAACCCCTAAACCCCTAAACCCTAAACCCTAAACTCCAAAACGTCTGATCCCTGCAGAGACTGGCGAGGTGCTGTGGCCAGGGGGTCCATGTCAGCCAGGAACCTCTGGCTTGGGGGCTTTATAGGGTTTAGGAGGTTTAGGGTTTAGGGTTTAGGAGGTTCACTGTAAGGTTTCAGGCATATGAGGAGTCTCTAAAGTCCATAGATATGTCTGGTGATGACCTTCATGTGGGTTCCAAATCTTACAAAGCAAGCCCAAGCGTGCCAAACATTCACAGGGCTGCTGGAATGAGGAACCCGAGCCGCAGTGACACTCAAAGTTTGGCTGCTTCGATGTGTAAGGAAGCCCAAGTAGTGAAAGCCAATGACCCCGATGTACGGAGATCCCCCATGCTCTGAGAAATAGCTTTTTGTGTTCACGTACGTGTAAAAAAAACAAAGCTCAACACCTACGCCCAAAACGGACTAATTCTCAGCATGTCCATGACAGATTCTCCTGGGGGTTTAGGGTTTAAGGCTAAGGTTTAAACCCTAATTAAACCCTAAACCCTAAACCCTAAACCGGCTCGACAGCCCGGCTGGCAGCTGGGCGGCTTCAGCTGGTTGCTCTGCGCCACGTGCTGCCGTGCCAGCACACGGCGGCTGCGCAAAGCGGGGCCTGAGGAGTCATGGGGGGTCATGAGTCATGATTTGGGATGTTCCCCCTTATAAAGCTAACGGTCCTTAATAGGAATCATCATAGGGGGTACTATAAACCCTGTTAAGCCGCTGCTAGTAGAAGGGGGAACATCTCAAGTCATGATCATGTTCCTGAGAACGGTAGGAAGGCTTGTGGCTTGGCCATGGGATGCAGAGGGGTACCTCAGGGTCCGTCGTGTTGTAACATGCTGAGGGCAAAAGTGCATTCGACTACACTTTCAGTCTTCCTGGGTTACATCACAGCCGGCGCTAGAACAATTTTAGGAGCTAGTCCCATCAGCCTCTTACACGACAAACAAGGTCAAAACCATAACATCAAAAAGCAGTACTAACAACCACGAGCTTGGATAACTCCGAAATGCGATGAGACACATTCGCGCAGCCAGAACTCCACCAAGGCTGCAAAATAGTGCCCGATCCTCACGGTACAGCCAAGTTCCAAGTTTCCAAGGCTTTGGAATTGCTTTAGCTAGGGCAGTCACACACTTTGAGTGAAAGCATAACCATGCGCTCTGAGCAAAAAACAACTTCCGCGTCCCTTCGATCGGTTAGAAAGAGTCGAGATCCTACCGAATTGTGACCCTGTCACGCCCTTGATCAGGTTTGTACACGGCAAGCTCGGTAAGTGCACTGCGAGCGTCCCGCCTTTTATGGCGCAGCGACCCTCCGGTGAACTCACTCAGGTTCTTTACCCCTCCAACTGTCGCTACATTTGGGCTCATTTTCAGATCTTGGCTCGTAACTATCGCTGATTCGCCCCCGCTCTGATTCGCTCGCAGCTCCTTGCGGTGGCTGGAGGGGGCTCTTCCCTGCAAACATCATCCCGCTGTCACCATCTGTGCCTCAACTGATCCTTTCCGTGGCGGATGCACGCTTCCTCTGCACACTCTACTGCCTTTTTCCTTCTCTCCTCCTCCCTTTCCTAAAGACGAGCGGTGTCGATCCCTTTTGTTAGGCCCCAACGACAACAGCTCGGACCCTCAAGCTACTGCATGCGGCTGCCCTCTTTTCCAGGCTTGACACAAAAAGTTGCTGCTCCAGCTCCAAGGCCCAAGCCAGTGGCTTTCTTTCTTTCGTTCTTTCAAGGGGCCTGGGGGGTAAACATCTGAGCAATCTGCGCGCCCCAGTTGTAGTTGTGGGCGCTGATTGAATGCTCACAGCCACTAGCTAAGTCACAATGGTCCCCTGCACCGTCAGCCCGTTCGGTTCAAAGCCGCCCATCCCTTCCTTGCTACGCGTGCAAGTTTCCCGATAACACCAAAAAAGCCAGTTTGCCCCTCCCCCCTTTGACCGACATCACTGAACTGTGCACGGTCCTGTCCTCTCTTCTTTGCCTCCTTCTTACTCCCGCTGGAATTCCCACCCGATACTTTGTGCTATTCTGAAGGAATACTTTGATCAACTTGACCATTCCCTGTCAGTGTGAAAACACATCCCCGCTCTGTCTCTGTCTCCGGCTCTAGCTCTCTCTCTCTCTCCCTCTGGGGTGTGCTCAGCCCAACTGCCTAAACCCTTTTGAACCCTAAACCCTAAACCCTATAATCGTTGTTGAGACCCTCGTGCAGCGGTCCTGAAGTTATCCGGCTGTGTCAGGAGCCAGTTCCGTAGGGGTTGAGGATCGTCGTCCAGCGCCAGAAGCCAATCATCTGGGCAAAGGTTGAACACTGCTGATTAGTTATTACTCATTAATTACCCTTAGGGCATAGTTTAGGATTGAGTCTAGGTCAGGGTTGTGTAGTTAAGGGGAAAGACGCTGAGCCCCCAACTCTATGCTTCAAGAGCAGAAATAGGGCTCATAGCACCATAGCACTTGGCAGGAGAGAAGCAAAAGAGGACCCACCCGCCCGTGTCTGTCGTTCCATATCTTTCTGGCATGGGAATTTTCGTCCGAAGCAAGTGCATGGGGGCTTGCTAACCCGAAACCCTAAACCCTAAACCCTAAACCCTAAACCGCTAACTCTGTCATGCCCTAAACTCGAAACCCCGAGCCTTCAATAACCTCTCTGCAACCGTCTATACTCCAAGGTTCATCGACAATTATGAGTGGGGTTCTAAGTATCCGAGATTAAGGTCATTCATGACCAGTTGCGATTATAAGCCCAACCTCGAATCCTCTACACGACTCAAGACCGGCGATAACTATACTTACCCTCCTGAAAAGCCTGAATAAGATATGGAGACCCCAACCAGTAAAACCCGACTCACAATCCAGCGTCCCATATGACCCCAGCTACAGACTATCTATAATCCAAGCAACCTCTTCTAGCGAGTAATTTAGGAGCATTAGACCTGGCTCTTGCCCCAGCTGCACACTGGTTTAGGGTTCAGGGGCTAGTAAGGCTAGTAGGGCATAGGGTTTCAGGAGGAGAGGGTTCTGGGCTTAAGTTTCGGGGTATGACACGAAGGAAACACACACACACACACCCACACCCACCGGCTCGAACGAAACGGTCCATCGAAATGTTGTTTGAAACGACTTCTTCAACAACTGTGATAAGCCCAGCCGCGGCTTTCTGCAACCAGCCGCGCTGCATGGTCATCGTCAAAGATGGGCAGGTTGCGATGCTCCTTTGTCCGGCTAGGGTCAGGTTTAGGGTGTCTGGCCTCGAAAGGGTGCAGGGAGGTCCGGAAAACACTCCATTGCTAAGATTAAGGTTCGCAGAATGTGCTCATTGTACCCCTCAGATGAGGCAGTCTGCCAGTCTAGAGTGCAAGGCTTACCGGATGCTCGCAGGGTACACGCTGGGACGCATGCTTTGTTCCCATTCTTTGGAGTTCACTGATAGTCCAGGGTTCACCGGAGGGTTTGGGATTGCGCTTGGCAATGAAGCTGCTTTCAGCTCCTGCAGGAGATGGTGGGAAGCCATGACCCAAACAAGGTCACGCACCACCTTGGCAAAGGAGGCAGCAACTGAACTTGGGAAAGCCCAAGGGGGTTCGCATCCTCCCGAGCACACAGGGCATGGGCTGCTTATTGTTTGTGGCTTAGGGCACATACCGTCGGGTTGGACTATGGAGGGGTCGTCGTCGCCTGTGGTCCTCCCAACCACTAGATGACGACTATTGCCACGGCGACGACGATGACGACGATGGCGACGACTTCTTCTGCTCTTACTCCTGCTCCTGCTGCCCTTCTCCTGCTCTTAATCCGACTACCGTTACCGCGACCAGGACCACGACCACTAACAGCACCACTGCCATGAGCATCACGACAACTACGACAACTGCGACAACGACTCAGACTACAACCACCCTCGGCATCCCTGAGCAATACAACGTGCTCAAGTATTCTTTCAAACCAAACCTAACCCCAGTGTAAGAAAAAGTGCCCTCTAGGGAGCACCTGCTGCCGCAGCTGCGCCATGATGTCACAGTCGGAGGCCGCCATAGTTGACGCAAGCAGTAGAGGGTTCAGTTTCGGGGTTGTAGGGCTTTAGATCGTCTTGCAAGGGCTTTGTATGTCATGATTCAGGTGTTCAGGGATCGAGATGTGCTGGGCATTGACTGACGGCTGGGCATTGGCTGACTCCTTGATACTCCTTGTATGCCGCGGACTAGCTCAAATAGACGCAGAATGATTCAGGGCCTGCGGGCACAATGACGAGTTCATGTGGGAGCCACAACTAGAGCCTGGGGGCCGCAACGCTTCGGGGTGGCCGCATACCTGCTAGGGATTCTCCAGGTTTATCCATCTCTCCGGTTTGCCTCAGCCAGTTGTCTAGATTGTAGTGTCCGTCTCCTGCGACGAGCGTGTTTGACAGCCCAAAGATTGAAAGTCTACAACGAATCGACGACCGAAGGAACCACGTTGTAGCCACATTCCTTTGCGTGACTGTACTGATCTTTACTGCTATGGCATGGAAGGCGCGACGTCCTGCAAAGCCTACAAGATCGAGCCCTGTTAGGCCGCATTTGTTGCCTGGCTTCGTCTATAGTCTAGACGACCCGACCTGCTCTGAAAATTCCACCGCTCAATCATGCAGGACAGGCCCAGCTGCGAGATTTCTGCCTGGTCGGCGCCAGCTCAACAATGGCATGTCTCAAGCATAAATGAACCAAGGCTCGCGGGTACTTATTGTACGAATCAACAGATTATAAGTACGGAGCCTGTATGTAAAAACCCCTCCACGAGCCTTCCGGGCCCTTCCCACCACCAACCAGAGAGTGTACACATTTCTTTAGGTAGTTACAAAGTTCCTTAATATAGGCCTTTAAAACGGGAACCGTTTTTTTACCCCGTTTTGAACCTTTGACCCCCAAGGGCCCTTACTTCCAAACCCTTTAAAGAAGGTAGGGGACCGTGCAAAGTAACAAGAGAACATCAAGAGAACTACAGTACCCTTAGACATTTGATTGGGCGCGGCGGCTATCATCCTATCTGTCCTATCTCC